AGGAATGCCATTTATAAAACTGAAACTTTTTTCCCTTCCCTTTTCTTTAGGATGCCATTAGAGATGTACACGTGAAAGGAGTGATGTACAAATGGATTGAAAAAGATCTGGGTGAGTTTAATAGAGCTCTGGTGCCAATTCCATTTTGGTGTGGCGTACTGTGTGGCATTCTTTGTAAGATGACTGCGTAGGCCCTACACGCAGTCACAGGAGTCCAGGGGGCACATAATTTAGTTAAATACTTGATTGTGGCATGCCTAGAGGCTGAGGGTTAGAGTGGCATTAAGAACCAAGTGGTATTTAGGGTTGGGTGGAGGATCTATTTTAATGGAGGAAACAGCTACCTCATTGGTTGTGTTTCTGTTTTCCTTCAGCCTGTAAGCAAGGGGTGATGGTCCTTGGCATGATGTGAACATGCAAAGGTACCATCTGGGGAGGCTTCCTGGTCATTCAGGGGAAAGAAAGCTCCTGGTAGCAACATGGCCTGGAGTGGCTGTGCCTGTCCCTTGTGAGGGTTTGGAATCAACCCTCTTTATTTTTGTCAGCCTTTTCAATTCCTCAGTCTCTCTTCCCTCTAGATGGGATTGATGAGGATGAGGAAGGCCATTTTGTTGCCATGGTGGTTTACAACCTGCCTGCCCGAGGTGGATCTAACTCAGGCCTTTTACATCCCTATTGGTATAGGGCTAGGTTTGGTTTTGTTTTTAAAGAAATGTGGTCATTAATTATGCCAAAATTTTTTGATTGATGATGTCTGTTTTATTCTGATACAGAACAGTATATTCTGCATGGGGATGAAATCTATGCTGTGCTAAACCGCCTGGTGAACCACAAGAAGAAACTCTTCCTCATTACAAACAGTCCCTTTAGCTTTGTGTGAGTACTGTTATTGCACATTGATGGGTTACCGCACGAGAGCTGTGCAGTGCGGTCTTTCCTGTGAGCATCTGAAAGCTGTATGCTAGAGGTTTTTGTAGCAATAGTGATGACTGCTTTCTGGGAACCGTTTGTGGTGAACGTTGCACCCCACAGTTCACTCTACACCATGACTCTCACTTTTTGAGGAAGATACAAGGCTGTGGCTGGCCACAACATTGCAGAGCTGCCACTTTGGATTATCGCTAGCAGCTTTTGCTGCATCACATTCTCTGGTCTTCCAATGGTACAGGAGAAAGGGTGGGACAGCTTGAAACAGTCAAAGCACTATGTCAATACTCTGTGCAATGGGGCAGCCTTGGGGGATGCGCAAATCTCTATGCTTTCTTCCCTGTTACTGAAATGAGAGTAAATTTAGGACAGACTGTTGTAAAGATGCAATGGTGGGTGAAAGAGAGTACTGGATCTGTTAACTTTTCTGTTCCTTTGCCCTTAGGGACAAAGGAATGAAACACATGGTTGGCAAGAACTGGCGGGACTTATTCGACATGGTCATTGTGCAAGCTGACAAGCCCAACTTCTTCACTGATCGGCGGAAGTACGTGTCCTGGGGCAATACTGCACAGCTGCATGTGGGCCTGAGGTTTTGGGGCCCCTTCCCTGGAGTAAACGGCTCCTCTTACCTTCCAAAAGAGTAGTGGTTTTCTAAGCATAACCTAGGTCCAGTAGGCATCCTGCCTGCTGCTGCCCTCTCAGATACACCCTGAGGAGATGAGAACTGACCGGTCTGGAAATAAGTGGATAGAATGGGTAGTGCCAAGCAAAAAGCGTGTTTCTAAAATTGGCTGTCTTGAGCCTTATCAGTTTTGTTATGGTCTGTACTTAACTTAGATTTTTAGGGGTAATAATGTACGTAAATCTTTAGAAAGAAAAGAGGAGTGGAATGGCGTGTATGAGGGCTGGCCATTTCTTGGCTCTAGGTCTTTGAAAGTGTGCCAAAGTCTCTCCTTTTCCTGTTCCCCAGAGCAGTATCTGTGTGCTTTGGGGTTTTTTTTTGTTTTGTTACTGGATACATGCTGTTTGGTAATTGGCAGCTCTGGAAGCCTTTGTACGTGGCAGCTGGGTTTGTGGTCATTTAGGAGCTGCCAAGGGACTGGCTGACAGGCAAGCTGCTGTCCTCGCTTTGCTCTTTGCATTAGTTGCTTTGGGAACTTGTGTCTGCTTTGTTGCCTCAACTTATGACTGACCAGGAATTACTGCCCTTGAGGGAGAGGTCTATTCTTTCCTCTTTATGTATTTTCTTCCCCCATTTCCCAGGCCACTAGCATAAACAGGAGTAAACCTACGAAATGACTTTATAAGCTGTCCGGACTTGGTAAAGGGCTTCATGGGCTGTAGGTGGAGTGTCTTACAAATGTAGCCTGAAGCTATGATGATCTGGCCCTCTGGGAGATAAAACCTTAGGGCTGCATGGGGCCTAAGGTCCACTCGTGTCGTGGGCCAGTGGAATGACACGGCACATACATGCAAGGTGAGGGGCACCTCCTGATGCTGAGCTGTAGTGAACTGTATAGTATTTTCTCTGAGGGAAAATGCAGGTGTGCACTGGACACTGCTCGTGGTCGAGGAGCCCCTTGCCCAGATAGGCTGTGGATATCATGGTGGGAGGCTGCATTCCTTCTGCCCTGTGGCAGCTCAGGATCCTACAATATTTCTGGATGAGATTGTGCTCTGCTTGCAGCAGGAGCAGCTCCATACCAAGGCTTTTAATCCCTGAGCTCACAGTTTGGATCTGCTATCCCAAGAGGGAGCAATGTTCCCATCGAGCGTGAATGTTCATGGGAGGTCAAGTAACGTAAGCCTTGTTTTGCTTCTTCTGTTCAAGTGGAAGGTAAGCCCTCAGGAACAACAGGAGCCAGCTCGGGTCAGCTGCTGAGATCAGCGCAGAGACTGCTTTATCCTATTAAGACATTCCACGGTCTCTGTTGGGCTGGGGCACAGCCAGACTTCAACAGGACACAAAGCCTTCTTGGCCTTAGCATTTCAGAGGGTGTCTTTTTTATTTTTTATTTTTTTAAATTATTTTTTTTTTTATCCTCTTCTCTGTATCTGAAAAGCAAGAAGAGTTGTTAGGGATATTGGCATGAAATGGTTACAGTCAATGGAAGCATTTTGAAAAGGTATTTCCCTCTCACTCTTTCTGTTCCCCTGAGAAAATAGTGCAGAAGGCCCAGAAGGTCACTTCTCATGTAGAGCTTTTATTACGAGTTGTTGCATAGGTAAACAAGTTTTCCAATTCGAATATGGTGGTTGCTGGGTAACAATCACCAAAAATCAAAAGATGTTGACGTCTTCCCCCTTTTTTTCCAGACCTTTTCGAAAACTGGATGATAAAGGCTCACTGCAGTGGGACAAAATAAACCAGCTGGAGAAAGGAAAGATCTACAAAGAGGTAAAGTGACCTGGGTGCACAAGGGATATGAAGGAAGAGTCTGAAATGGTGGGCACCCAGTTTTGGAAGTCCCTGGAAAAGCCTGGAAGTCAGTGGAAAACAGAAAAATCTGCTTAGTCAGGGTAGGGGAAAATGACAGGTTCTTCTATAGGTCACTTGTGGTTGTTTGACACTGATGTTGTTTGAAAAGTGAAAAATGGAAATCCTTGAAAAAAGCACCTATGATAGAGTTAGAGGGCACTTGTAAGAAGACACACTCTGGGCTCCGTGTGCTGCGCTGGCTGGTGGCAGGGAGATGTGCCCTCTGTCCACATGCAGAGAGCTCTTGCTGGCCTGGTAGGACACTGTCCCCCTGAATGCTTTCAGCATGTCTCTTGGCGTGCTCTGCAGCAACAGCTTTACGATTTGCATGCCTCTGAAAAGTCTTCCAGCTTCTGCTGGGATGTAAGCATTAGAATAAAGGTCCTTTTTGTATATCAGAAAACCCTGCCAAGGGCTGTGTTGCCTGTCAGCGTGTGATAAACTGACCTCTGAGAATGGCGAGAGATGCTTTGTGCCAGGTGTGGAAAAGGCTGCTCTCCTGACAATCACAGGCTTTTACAGTTGTAGGAGGCAGAGCTGAAATAAGGTAAACCAGAGCTGCCTGGTAGGAAAACTTTTTGTCTGCAGCTCTGAAAGTTTCCTACCCAGCTCCGTGTGCGAGTCATGCTGCAGAAGGGTGTGTAATGGGAGCGATGTGTTCCACCCAGCTCATCTGGGCTTGGCATTAGAGATGGAGGGACAGGGACAAGGGGAAAAAGGCAGAGAAGGGCCAGTTGACTTAGGGCGTTGGGTGCTTGCCTTTCTGCCCACGAGGACCTGTGCTGAGTTCTCTCTCCCAGTCTGAGTCTTTCCCTGTGGCTGCCCTGTTAGTGTGAGAAGGGGTAGTAGGGGTAGCATGTGTAGCAGGGGTCAGCAAATGCCCCCTGCCCCAGCATACAGTGAAACCTCGATCCTAGGAGCTCTGTTCTGACATTGTCCAGCGTGGCCAATAATGCAGATTTCCCTTGGCTCTTTTGATGTCCTGGTCCTGGAATTCTTGTCCTGGAGGGGCTCCCAAATGCATGCTCCTTCAGGGTAAGATGATCTTCCACACCTCACTCCAAATCATCCTCCATAAGGTTGGAAAGGGTGGACTTGTGGAGGAGGGAGCAGAGAAAACAAGGGTGATCAATTAGGGTACAAAGTCTGGCTCCTGTCTCTCCCCTTCCTGAAGGACAAGCGTGTCTGAAGGATGGGCTGTTACTCTGGTGAACTTGCTGCCTTGGGGTGTTCTCCTTGCAGCTGGTCTGTCCCCTGAGAACAAATTGCCTCTGGCTTTAGGACGGTTTGTTCTTGGTTATGTGAGCTGTCCAATCCCACGGGAAGAAACTGTTAGTGAGATCGTGGTCAAGTAGCTGGGACCTGACCTGCGATAGAAAAGTAGGTCACGTCCTTGAGTAATGCTGTTGGGAAGGCTCTGGCCTGTCCGGTGGGTCTGTCAATGTGCTCTGCTAGCGTCCTGTCCTCTGCCAAGAGCTAGGAGCTGGGAACATGCAAGTAGAGTTCATACAAAGTCCCTCTCCCAGTAGGTTAGCAGCTCCCTCGGACAAAAAGGTGCATCTCAGCCATGGGGTTCGCTGCTGAGTTAAATCCTGCTCTTGACCACCCACATCCTGTGGCCACAGGTTGCTCACCCAAGTCAATGGTGCATTGAGGAAGAGAAAAGATAAAGGAGGAAGGAGGGAAGGGTGGGATTTTGGGGTCCTCTCCAGTTCTCCCCCACCAGGATGTTCACCCGACTGAATCAAGGTTGTTGCATAACGGTTGTTCTTGGGATGTGACAAAGTGTGTATCCTGGTTGTAGGCCACCCTGTTGCCAGCATTTTTGCTTTCTTGGAGTGCCACAATATGCTTCTTTCTGGCAAGTGTTAGCGGCCATGGACCTTGCTGTGCTGGTGATGTTGCCACAGGCCTCTGAGTTGACTTGTTGCTGTCCCCTGAAGCACAGCTGAATGGCAGTTGTGCTGTGGGTATCTCATACGAATGGGACCTCGGGGATCAGTGTTTTGCACTGGGGACTGGGAAGTTCAGGTGATGGCCCTCTAGTCCCTCCTTTCTGATAGATGTGGTGCTTTCTGTTTGTGGCATGTATGTACTCCATCCCACCCCAGTCTGCGATCTCAGGAGGGGAGGACAGCCAGCTCCTGGACATCACGTAATAGGTCTGTTGCTCAGTCGAAGTCCAAGCGCAAGTTTCCTGGTTGTCAGGTCCACTGCTGCTTGAGGTGACCAGAGCACAGCAAAAGGACTGTCCTCCTCCCAGGGGTCCATTTCTCTGCTCTGCCAGGGGCTTCCTGAGCAACCCTCATGGGAGCAGCAGCAACATCAAGCCCAAGAAACGCAGAGGTCTGCCTGGCCCCGTGTGTCCATGCTATTAGGGGATGTCTGCACAGCTCCAGTGCTGCTGCAGCAATGGGCGGCCCAGCACTCTGGTTCCAGGTACCCACTGCAGTGCATACAGCATGCTGCCAGTGGCCACATGCAGGGCTGCAGCCTTGTGCCGGGGGGTTTTGTGCCCGGGCCAGTGCTGTTGGGTAGGTGTGCTAGCCCTTTCCTGGCGCTGCGAGCTGGAGCTCGCGGGTTTGCATTGATTGCTTGTGCTGGCACAGTCTAGTCTGCTGGGGTTGATGGGGCCTTTTGCTTTGGGTTTTGTTTCCGTTGTGACTCATATGGAAAACTTGTGTGGAGATGGAAGGGGGGGTCCCTGAAGTCTCCTCTGTGTGTGGACGGATATTTGGAAAGCCTTAAAAGCTGCTCTGTGCTGTGCTTCAGTGGGTGCTTTGGGGTTGGGTTTGGTTTACTCAGCTGTGAATCTGCCCGAGCTGCCTGGCGTCTTGGCTTGGTTAAGCAGTTTCTGTGAACGCGTGGGTGTTCTTAAGCTTTCGGCTTGGGATGGTGGTCAGTGATGTGAGAACAGCCTCAAGTGCTTCTGACTCTGAAAGCCTTGCATGATGGTGCTCACCTTACCTCTGATGCAGCCTGTGAGATGAAGCATTGTCACCTGAGCCCAGCGACCTCTAAACCCAGAACACCTGGGGTTCCTTCTGTCCATCACTCAAGCTTTTCTAATTTAGGTGTCTTTCACTTTTGCCCTCTAAACTGTCTCCTTTTGTTGCCTTTTTAGTCCATGTAGTCCTCTTGACTTGCTGTGCACTAGAGCACAGAACTTCCCCTGAATGTCCTATTTGGTTTGGAAGAGTTTCTGCCTCTTTCTGTAGCCTGAGAAAAGCTGAGGGGTGTACAGGGGGGTTGTCACATGGGAAGGAAGTGAGCTAGAAGGCGGGGGAGGACAGAAACCTCTGGGTGTGGATGGTAGGGGAGCAAGGTGGTTGACATCTCATGAGAGCACTCACATCTGTATGTGGTAAGGTGGCACATCCAGTTGCGTTGATTGCTGCTGAGGTGGCTGCCCAGTACCATGCGGGGAGGATGGCAGCATTTGCCCTGTAACCACGTTTCTCTCTGTGCTGCTTTTACTTACAGGGTAACCTTTTTGATTTTCTGAGGCTGACAGGCTGGCGTGGGTCCAAAGTGCTCTACTTTGGTGACCATCTGTACAGCGACCTTGCGGTAAGTGAAAAGGGCTCTGCTCTCCAGTGAGGTGGGAGCAAGTCTGCATGGCTGTTGTGGCTGCAGCTGTGTGGCAGTGTAAGGCAGGGAGGGCCCTGCTCCGAGTGCTCAGGGCTCCAGGATGCAGTGCTGGGTGCTCTGCAGGCTGCGGCTTTCGGGGCACACATAGGACACAAAAGCATCCCCTCTGCTGTCACGCAGAATCAAGCCGTGGAGAAAGGGCTTCTGAAGTACTTTCTGTGGGTAAAGAACATCTGTTGGTCTGTGAACTTGAGAGCAGTTTGTGTGAATCCAGCATTTCTCCACAGCTGGTGGCTGGGAGATGGGTGTTACCGGCATGACCTGGCATGGCCCATGGATGCCTGTCCCCTGGGAATCTATAATGGGAACTCTTCTAGGAAACTGGGTTGTGTTTGGCTTTCAATCTTTATGTTGAATTCTTGGTGGTTTTTTCACCCTGACCTCTAGGACCTCATGCTGCGTCATGGCTGGAGGACTGGAGCCATCGTTCCTGAACTGGAGACGGAGATTCGGATCATAAACACAGAGCAGTACATGCACTCCCTGACCTGGCAGCAGGCTCTGACGGGGCTGTTAGAGAGGATGCAGGTAAACAGCTCCTGTCTGAGTGGGGCGGGTAATATGCTGCCTTCCGAGTCTGTGTTTTGGGCTTAGTGTGGGAATCAGGGTATGTACCATCGTGCCTGTGTTCTCAAAAATATCTCCTCCTGGTGCAGTGGACTCGTGGGTTAGTGCGTTACAGTGGAAACTACAGGAGGGGATCTGAGGTGTGGTCTGCAGGACTGACACAACTGTTGTCTTGGCAGATGTATCAGGATGCGGAGTCGAAGCAAGTATTGCTGGAGTGGATGAAGGAACGTCAGGAGATCAGGTGCGCATTGTTCCCTTTGCTCAAGAGGGCTCTCAGGGGCTCCCAGGCCTGCACTGGGTCTGTCCTGTAACCTGTTTGAGGGACAGTGGTACTACAGGCGTTGGCCTGTGGTCATCCCTGATGTGCCATGTCTTTAGGGGGGATGCAGCAGTGCAGCCCTGCAGCTTGGGAGGTTGGGAGTCAGAGAGCTTTGAGGGCAAAGTGGGAAAGGGGAGGTGGTGTCACCCTGTGTGTGTGTGCCTAAGGGGGGGGAGGTTGATTGTCTGCTGCTGCAGCTCCTGGCACTGCAGGTGGGTCCCTGCCCATAGCAGGTAACAAGGAA